TCATATTAAAATTCTTCGCTCCGATAATGCCAAAGAGTACACCTCAATACCATTTCAGCAATACTTAGAGCACCATGGGATAATTCATCAAACTTCTTGTGCCTACACCCCACAACAGAACGGTGTAGCTGAACGGAAAAATCGACATCTCCTTGAAACTACTCGGTCTTTGATGCTTAATATGAATGTCACAAAGCATTTTTGGAATGACGTTGTCCTCACATCCTATTTTCTCATCAATCGGATGCCCATGTCCATCCTTGGAAGTCAATCCCTCTTCTCGGTGTTGTTTCCCACCTTGTCTCCGTTTCCTCTCACCCCAAGAGACTTTGGATGTGTTTGTTTTGTTCAAAACTTGGGGCCTGATTTAGACAAGTTAGATGCACGAGCTACTAAGTGTATCTTCCTTGCCTACTCAAGGACTCAAAAAGGGTATAAGTGCTATAACCCTAACTTCCATAAGTCATTTGTGTGCTCCAATGTCACCTTCTTTGAATCGGTTCATTTTTTCTCCGATATTGTGGTTTCTTCTCCTTCCCCCGTAGTTCCTCTTCCCGTCCCTGTTGTGGATCCCCTTCCCGTGGTTTTCATTCCAGTTGCAGATTCACCTCCCATGCCAGTTACTACTGAGAGGCCACCAATAAGACAAGTGTATACTCATAGAAGAGCACCAGCCCCTCCTCCAATTCAGCCCTCGTCAACAGGTCCTATCATTGCTTCTTCTCCCTTGGACCTTGATTTTCCTATTGCCCTGCGGAAAGGTAAACGCACCTGTACTTCTCATCCTATTTCACACTATGTTTCAGCTGCTCACTTTTCTGCTTCTCATCGCAACTTTATATCAATGCTATCATCTGTTTCCATTCCCAAGACTATCCAGGAAGCCCTTACCTCCCCAGGGTGGCGACAAGCCATGGAAGAGGAACTCTCTGCTCTACAACACAATCACACGTGGGAACTCACTGCTCTTCCTTCTAGTAAGCATGCTGTTGGGTGTAAGTGGGTCTACACAGTGAAGTATCTTCCAGATGGCAGTGTGGAGCAATTGAAGGCCAGGTTAGTGGCCAAGGGCTATTCTCAGCTGTATGGTGTGGACTATATGGAGACATTTTCTACTGTGGCTAAAATTGGCTCAGTTC